AAAATACAAAATTTGGAAATTGTTTTACTTGAAACAAAATTGATAAGCTTTGAGATTGTTTCTCTTGAAATAAATTTTACCTATCCTGAGACAGTTTATCTTGAAATATAAAAAACACTTTGATAGTGTTTCTCTTGAAACAAAGTTTTGTCTCGCTTGAGACAAATTCTTTTTGAAACATAAAAACATTGAGATTGTTTCCATTGAAACACATTTTGTCTCTCTTGAGACAATTTCTTTTGGAAAAAAAAATCTTTGAAACAAAGTGTTGTCTCACTTGAGACAATTTTCCGCAAAACGCCAAATTATGAATTTGTTTCACTGGAAACAAACCATCATTTTAAGATGTTTCTTTTAAAACAAAATATCTTTGAGTCTGTTTCTTTTGAAACAAAATTTTGTCTCTCGTGAGACAATTTTTCGCGAAAAAAATCTTTGAGTAGTTTCTTTTGAAACACAAAATCTTGAAACATGGTTTTGTCTCTCTTACAATTTCTTTTGAGAAAAATCTTTGATTTTGTTTCTTTGGAAACAAAATTTACCATATGTGAGTCTATTTCCCTTGAAACAAAACAAAAATCTTTGAGTCTGTTTCTTTGGAAACAAAATCCAATCTTTGAGTCGGTTTCTCTTAAAATCATTATCCCTAAAGATAGCCTACCATCCTCATCGCTTAGGAACCGTGTCATCCCCCGACCAGATCTCCTCATCGTGTAGGAGTCGCGTCAACCATAGATAACCAGTCGTCCTCATCACGTAGGAACTGTGTTATCGCCCTTCCTAAAGATGGCCAGAACACTTCATCACGTACGAGTCGTGTCATCCATCGACCAGATCTCCTCATCACGTAGGAGACGTATCAACTCAGATAACCAGTCGTCCCCAACAGAGTGGAACCATGTTATCATCATTTCAAAAGATGGCCAAAAACTCTTCATCACGTATGAGCAGTGTCATCCCACGACCAGATCTCCTCATCACGTATGAGCCGTGTCAACTCAGATAACTAGCCATCCACAGCATAATGGAACCGTGTTATCATACTTCCTAAAGATGGCCAAGGACTCTTCATCACGTATGAGCAGTGTCATACTCCGACCAGATCTCCTCATCGCGTAGGAGCCGTGTCACCCTTAGACGACCAAAACTCTTCATCACATATGAGTAGCGTCATCTTCAGCAATAAATTATCTCCTAATTGACCCGATTTCCTCAACGCGTAGGAATATCGTCATAATTTATCGAAAACGACCCGATCTCTTCAACATGGATGAGCAGTGTCGTCTTCAACATCAAATTGACCCTATCTCTTCAACACGGATGAGCAACATCGTTTTCAGCAACAAATTACCTCCAAAAGAATTTCATCAACAAACAAAGATTATTCGAAGAAAATAGCAGTGGTCGAAGAGAGAGAAGAACTCGTCCGAAGAGAAACAAGAATTTCAGAAAGAGAAGAACGGATGGATAGGAAATTTAAGTAATTCGGGCCAAAAATGGTGCTTTAAATCTTTGCTCCATTTCTGTTTCAGAGCAACGAGCAAAGATGGGCAGCTGTAAGCACCATTTTTTGTCCTGCTGTAACACAACCAAATCCCAGTAGCCCATACCTCACCCATGCTACTGCACAATACCCGATTCAGACCCAATTTTTCTACTGTCACCCATACCGCCCCATGCTGTACAGCACCACACGCTAGCCCCATACTCCTATACCTAGCCATTCATTATTAATGAGAAACAATCAAATAAAAGGGAACACACAGAAGAAAGGAAGGGACATTGGGGGATACACGAAAAAGAAGAGAAAAAAACGAAGAGAGTATAACCATAAAAAATAAAAAAGAGTGAGAGGAGACTTACTTTTCCTTCATCGGACAGCCGCTGCGGTTTCCTTGGTTCATCAGTGTCATCCTCGTCAGTGATCGTGTGGGTATGGTTCTTTCTCTATTTCTTTCTTACCTTCCTCTTGTGAAATTGGGGAGGAATAGGGAGAGTGAGAAAGCACGACAGTGAGGGAAGAGAGAAATTAGAAAGGGAAAATAAAGAATTTTAGGTTTTAGAAAAATGAAATGAAATTTGGGAAAACCGATTCAGTTCTGTTTTAAGGTCTTATGTTTAGAGTGAAGTGACGCCATTTAGGCCAAGAGGGATTTGCTTTTTTGAAAATAGTGCAATATCATTTTAGGTCCCTCTATATTTGTAATGGATGTAATCAGATCACTTAATGAAGTTTCATTCTTCCATTTCGAGCACCTTATTTGTTTAGTGCTTTTGTTTTAGTCATGTGTTATATCTTTTTAAATGTTTAGATATATAGCTGTAAATTTTACTTAGTTTTCATTTGGTCATTAGTTAATGATTTTTATTTATTGCATTTTGGACTTAATTTTTGTTTATCTTTCATTTTGATCATTATTTGTTCACTAATGGGTTTAGGGGTGAATACTTTATTTTGACCTCTGATTTATGATTAAGTTCATTTTAGTCATCATTTTTGGAGCTTTACTGTTTGGGTTTATTTCCATTAGGTCCTTACCTGTTATATAAATATGTTTGGTTTTATGTCTATTATTGTCTATTGATTTGTGATTTAGTTCATTTAAGTCCTTATTTGTGTATTAATTAAATTTTTAGCATTTATAATATGGATTCTGAATTTGTTTGACTTTTTGTTTTAGACCCTAAATGATATTTTTAAAGGTAGATATTTAATTTGTATTATGGGTTTTAGATTTTAAGTTGACTTCATTGGGTCATCACTGTTGATTTTTCAAGTGAATTGTATGGGTATTGTCTGTTTATATTTTATTACTTTATTTGTTTATAAATTAATCATCTTATTGTGTTGCTTTAGTTTTTTTTCTTATTATTACTCTAAACCATTTAAGTAATATTTTGTTTATTTATTTTTGTGTGTTTATTATTACGTTACATGTAAATATATTTGCTTGGTATTCCATAATTCTTGAATGTTTGTATATCGATTATCCTCATATATTATGCTCATATTAATTAATATTGTGTCAGTGTTTTATGTATCTCTCGTATTCGATTAAATGTTTGAATTAACTCGAATGTTTTTTTTCGAGAACACCGATTTGTAGAATGAGCGTGGAAAGTATCACTTAGTCGAAGTGATGCGATCTAATATGACATTTTAACAAAATGTGAACTTGAAATAAATTAATTTAACTTGTGCTTATTAATTCATATCGTATTTTAAATTGCATAATTCAATGTGTTTCTTTGTAGCGATTCATTTTACGCAAACGCCGATTTTCAATTTATATTCGATTTGTGTTTTATCAAAGATGAAAATATTCTTTACGGATAAAAAATAATCGAAATAGTTGTCCCGACAGAGGATTGCTAGTTTCGAGATTTCTTTTTCAAGTTAAAGAATTTTCTTTAATTAATTAATTCGAAGCAAATCAAATTAACTTTAATAAATGGATCACATTTTAATTATTGATTCGATTTGTAATTTCTACCATTTACGACAAAGTGTAAGCGACACAGTACCAATTTTGGGCACTGTGGGGGTGTTAATCCTTCCCCACGCGTAACCGACTCCTGAACCCATTTAAAATTAATCTTTGGTAACGCAGACCGAATTTTTGTCTAAAAAATGATTTTTCTTAAAATTGTTTTTAAAAGACGTTTTTAGGTATTCGACCTACCTAACCCAAAGGTCGATGGCGACTCATTTTTCATTTAATTTAAATCAATTCCAAATTCACCCATTTTTCAAAATAAAGTCGTAATTGTTTTTTTTAATTAATATTTTAATTCTTTTACCTAAAAATGGTTATGACAACATGGATGCCCGATGGTGAGTATAGAAAGGTTCAGTATATGTTTACATGATGTAAAAGAATTAGTTATATTAATATGAGTACTAATAAGTATTGTTAATGGTATATGTTTTTATATGATATGATAGTATTAATTGTTTATGCATTGATATGAGTAGAGTAATATCATATGTTTTCATGCCTCACTAAATTAACGACTTAGCGTGTGATTGTTTCACGAGTAGGTTCAGAGAAGAGGAAGATTGATAAAATTTATGCAAGACAGGTCAGTTTCTCCTTTCCAAAGATCAAATCAGATCAGAAAAGAAATGTATAGTATGTATTTTGTTATAAGAATAGTGGTTGACATGTAAATAAAGGTTTAAATCCGATATGTTTTAATCAATTTTGTAAAATCAAATGATTGAGTTTTGTAATGTTTTAAATGTGTATATGTAAATGGTAATTTTATACGAACGAAAACTTAGATTTTTATGAATTTATATGTATTTTGCCGAAGTTACTGTAGCAGTGCATCGATGCACGGTAGCAGTGCATCGATACACAATTTATATTCGGCATTTTTCAATGTTCATGGTACTATTCATACTGTATAGTACTATTTATAAATACACATTTTTGACTTGAATTTTTATAATGAAGCATAATTTAATAGTATTTTATTGTATTTTCTTATCATAAGTTCAAATGTTTTGCTATCTTACAAGAATATTGTTCCAAAAAATCAATGTGACATCACGGACTCGTATTCGAGTCGAATACGAGTTGGGGGTGTTACAGTCCCAGCTCCCACCTGGCGGCTGGCTGCCACAAGCGCAACTTTCCTTTTTTGTTCTCCCTTGCCTTTCATCAGGTGATGTCTCTCACTTTCCTCTTTTTTACATGACCATTTCAATGTTTATATTTTAAATGTATAATAAAATATACATTTATATTTTTATAATATTATTTTTAAAATTTAAATCGAAAATATTATTTTCACTGTTCATTTGGGTGTTTATTTATGATCCAATCTCATCAAAGGATTGAACTTTTTAAATTGACTGTATTTTCCAAGGCAGGCAGCCAACCCTGAGTCACCTAGTGCTCCTGGGAATTTGCAGTGGCAGCGTCATCTCCACAAACATAAATGCCAAAACATGGTTTCGAATGTAAAAAAAGGAAGGAAGACTAAAAACTCCAGGAAATATATGCCATTTGAATCATTTAAAGAACAAATGTACATTTGCTTCAATAATGAACCCTTTCTTGCAACTAATACAACAAGAAAGAGCCTTTTATGTTGGCCAAATTCTAACAATATTCCTTCCAAAACCAGCAGATTTTGCTTTTCAGTTCTACCGGAATCAATGACGAACAATAAATAGTTAAAAAAATGAAACAAGGAAGGCTATTAATCAAGTCCCAGAGTCGTAGCAGAATCCGAGGAATTATTGTCCCAATCAAAATCCGTCGTCATCATCATCATCATCCACTGTTGAATCTCATCTTCTCCCATCCCGTTCCAAAACTCCGTTCCGAATCTCATTTCCGTGTCCCTTCCAGTGTTCAAATTCATCGATCCGCTATTTTCTTGATCGGAGACAACTGCGGTCGTTGTCGCTGCTGATGTTGTTGTTACTTCGTCATTACCGTAGGTAGCCGGGAATGGGAAGTTAAGTTTAGCTCTTGGTCCACGGAAATCGATGGCTGCCTTATCGTAAGCCCGAGCAGCTTCCTCCGCCGTGTTGAATGTTCCGAGCCAGACCCTGGTTGCGCGTTTCGGATCTCGAATCTCCGCCGCCCATTTCCCCCACGGCCTTTGCCTAACTCCCCTGTAGTTTTTCTTTACTCGTTTTGTTCTACTCACGGTCGTCGTCGTCGTTGTACCCTTTTGTTCTTCCTGCTGACTTGGCGGGAAAAGATTGCAGCCAAGGCAGCCTTCAAATTTGCACACGTGGCACTTATCCATAACTTCTCTCGCTTGAAATAACACGTTCCCACTATCAACAGGAACGGTGGGAATGGAAGTCATAAGGGAACCCAAATCGGATGGAATATCGACGGCGGTGGAGGAAGGGGTGAAGCCGGTGATGACGTTTCTCAGGGCCGATACCATGATGGAGAGTTCGTGTTCGGGAGAAAGACGGTGAATCTGCGGTGGCGAAGGCGGCGGCACCGTTGAATTTGATGATGGAGTTGTGCTAAGTTTCTGTCTTTTCATGGGCTTCTGCATATAATTGTAGTGAGTCTGTGTTTTGGGATTTAGTTTTGACTTTTGAGACCTTTCTTCTGTTTTTTCAGGTCTCTTTGTTTTCTGGATGTGGAGGGACAAGAACAGAGCGAAGGAGCGTTTTATACAGAGACTTGTAAGGTTCTGACGTGGCATGCCAGCTGGTTCCTTCAACACCCGAGAAGTTTCGTCTTGCTATACTCAACATTAAATGTGTACCAACCCTATATATCTCACGTTAGAAGGGGTTGATATTACAAGTTAATTAAATAAATATTAACTTAATTAAAATATTTTTTTTATTTAAAAATGTTTTATTTCATACTTTCTAAATAGTTTCAAATAAAATAACTTATAACTAATACGTGATTAATATATTTGTCTGATTCACTTATAATAATTCATAGAATTATTGTTTTATAAGTATATTTTTATATAAAATATTTAATTTTTTTCGATAATAGACATGATAAACTCTAGTATGCCCTTCATTGATTGTTTCTAAAAACATCCATGTTAGGGTGAAATTGCGAAAATTTTCTTATATATAACCCAAGGTTGTTGGTACCATATTGATAGAGTTACCATTATATATATATATTCTCAAAAAAAATTACATACATATGATTATAAAATTATTAGTAGAAAAATAGGATAAATTATGTATTTAATTACCAAACTATTATTTTGGTATTGTTTTAGTTACCCAATTATTTTTTTTCAAAATCATCGGTAACATTATTTTTTGTTTCATTTTGGTTACTCACCGTTAAAAAATTAATATTGATATTTGTATTATCATAAGGTAATATCATGTCATCATTGAAAAATAAAATATCTTGGTAAAGTTTTATTAATTTTTTAACGACAATGACCCAAATAAAATCTAAACGTAATTGTGGATGATTTTAAAAAGAAAATAATTGAGTAAACGAAATAAAACTAAAATAATAACAATTAAAATATGTTATTGACCTTAAAATAATATATATAATTTTTAATTAGCTTAATTAATAACTTAAAAAATGTTCATAAATAAAAATATTTTCACCATATTTTTATAAACCGGAGTTTTTACCGATTCAAAGAGAGCAGTAATTTGGGTTTCAATCAATGAAAATCCAGATTGACAGAAGAATTGGTATTACTCAGTACAGTCAACGAAAGGCCTTAAATAATATGGAAGGGGAAGGAAACTGGGTGAGAACCTATTTTATTCAGTTGGTGACAGTTTAATGTCATTTTCATGAACAGCTGTTGATTTTAAGGAGTACGGTCGGAGTAAAGAACCGTACATGTGTGTCACTGCTTTAAGTTGACGTAGCTGGATGTCTTCGAGAAGTACCAAGGATTAGGACCAAAGGGTTGACGGTCAAACCCCTAATATGAAAATATAAAGGGCCCCTCCCTCCGCGTTTGACAAATTCAAAGCACACTACAAATCCCCCAAGTCGCCACATCCCGTCTGGAAGGAATTCGGTTATGATGACTTCACAAATTGCTACTAGGGTTTTCACTAGCCTTGCATTGTAGTCTGTGCATTCGACTATAAAAGATGTTACTGTACTCCTTGCATAGCAACCCTGATTCAATAATTAAAACAGAAGTTTTATCATCCTCTATTCAATAATGAACTAAAGTTCGTTAACTAACATTAGCAGTCACAAAGTGAATACTTATCTCTATACTTTTATCCGCATACTTCTTTCCCTGCAGGTTTAAGGTTTGATGGAATTGCAGATGCTGAGGCCTGGCACTGTGATGTTCCAGTGTTTTCTGTTTTTGACTTGAGTTATGGTTAACTTTTTTGGTGCATTATGCTGATGGGTCAAATATCATGAGTGAATCTGTCTTTATATGGTGGAATCAATCCTGAGGAATTTGTTTTACAAGACAGATAAGTTTTTCTTATTCACCACATCCACATAGATGGACTGTTGTCTTCTGTACTAATACACATTCTTTGCCTTTCTCTTCAAGTAAGCTCTCAGGATGTTTTCGACTGTCAGGTCTTTTTGATCAAATTATACATTCTGTTGACACATCAAATTATTTTAATTGAGTGACTAAATATATAATCTTTGTGTGTTTTAATGGAGGTAATGGTTTGAGATAAAAGAGAGAATGATTTAAATTTTTGGAGGCAATATGTCCAAAAAATTATTTTAGGAGACAATTCGATACAAAATGTATAGTTTAAGAGAAAATGGGGCACTTAAATATATCGTAAATAACGGGATGATGGTGAAATAAGATTGCAGAATAACATGTTACTTTCTCGGGAATACATCTGGTCTTTCTATGGTATTGCATTTGGCTTCATCTCAACTAGGCAGAAAGAAGTAAGTTGATGGTTAAAATAATACAGGCGGCAGTGAGTCATCTACTTTCATGTGGTCCCGTGGCTGTTGGCCATGAACTTGCACTGTTGTGAAGTGTTCTCTGTCCTTAGAATTAATTGAACCTATATTATTTGGACCGTGGGGGCATTGCCCTTGTTTCTTAGGTCATTCCAACAAGAATGCTTTCATCCTTAGCAGATTCGGGGCTAATTAGGCATTGGGGCCACCGCCAAAGTCACCATGGCTTCAAAACTTAAAAGCATGTAGGCAAAGCTTATTTGCATGCCGTTACAGGGCTGGTTGTAATGTACTTTGTTTTTTATGGGGCTCACCATTCCATAGTAGTCACTAGACATGAAGAAAGTATGCCCTTAACAGAGAATGTGCCCTCCAGCCCAAGGCACCTCTGGTTTTTTCCCCAAGGGATGGACACGTGGGCTTTATTATGCCCACTTCTGCAGACTGCCACGTGATGTCATTGTGCATATATTTACCCGTATTGCCTATACAATGAATGGTGGTGCATTGCAACATGTTCTGTTAATTACATAGATTATTGCAATAATGTTCTGTGAATTTACACATGCTCAATTTCTTAATAACATAAAAAATAATAATGATTTATTTATTTTTGGTTATAAGTTTATTTTAACTTCCTTTATAATTTCCCGTTCATTACAAGTTAAGGAAAAGTTATACCAAAAACCTAGAGCTACCGGAAACAAATTAGTAGTTAAAACCTAGAGCGACCGGAAACAAATTAGTAGTTTTAGTGGTAAAAGTGAATGTTATTATTGTTATAGTACTCAGCTTCTCACAGTAAAGTCTTTATGATTTATACATTACCAATAGTTTAAAAAAATTTCGAATAAATATTATATTATAATCAATCCAGAAAAATATTTTTTCATTAATATTTTTTATTATAACCAATAATATACATACATATTCTAAAGAAGAAGAAAAAGTTAAGTAGTTACAAGCTGCATAATATTGGTTGGTGAGATAATTTGAGATCAAATTGGTTAGGGTTGCTGCACTGCTGGACGGATTCTTTGATTTCTTTCCCAAATTTGTACAACTTATGGGCACATATCTTGGGAAGGACAGCTGGATTGTTCCCAAAATCTGGCTGGGAGTCCTCCTTGAGGTACTGGAAATGGGCCATATTTAATCCCACTACCACAGCCCACCACCTCCCACCTACAAATAACATATTGGAATCCGAGTGAATTTGACCTGAATTGTATTATTAGATGTCCAGTTCAATCATATTTTATAATCCGATTGAATGAGGTACCTAAACCCTAAACCCTAAACACATTTTATAATTTGAGTGAATTATACATAAATTGTGCTATTATGCCCAATTCAGCCATATTTTATCATTCCTGTGAATTACACCTGAATTGTGTTACTAAATATCTAATTCAACAGTATTTTATAATCCGAATGAATTATACCTGAACCGTGTTACTAGATGATGGATCAAAATAAAAGCCTCCAGCTTGGCTAGTTCGTTGCCTGGCATGAAGGTATTGGGTTTTAGAGCTGCCTGCTTGAACCCATATCCAGAAAGAAAAAAACAACAGTAAGCCTATGTCGATCCATTTGCCTATTATCTTTATAAATTTTTTTTAAAAAAAGAGAGAGTTAAGTACCTCAAATCTAGATGGATCAAAGTGTTGAGGTTCAGAAAAGAAATCTGGGTTATGATGAATATTCCTGAACAATGGCATCACTTTCCAACCCTTGGGTATTAGGTATCCTGCACATGTAAAAGTTATAAGGACAGTAACTAATTATTAATGCCACCTTAAATGCAATACATACAAAGAATATTCCAGTTAACTCTTCAATTTAGTTACCCTTGTATTCCATATCAACTACTGCTTCCCTGAATGTGAAAGATATGATGCTTGCCATCCTCAAGCTCTCTAGTAAAACCTGAAATTGATTCCTCCAAAGCTTAGATGTTTCTTGAAATTCTTGGTTGAAACATGTACGACTTAAACAGTTCATACCCTGTGTGTAAGGGTCATTTTCCTTGTTTGTGCCCATGTTAGGTGTCCCTCTCCTCTGTTGTTTGACTGGTGTATGGCCTTTTGCTCCGTCTGCAACGATTGTGAGAACCATGAATCGAGACGTTCAATTATTTTAAGTAGTATTCGAGCGAACACTTGGATGATTTTTACCTTAACAGCTTCCAGAAGCTTGGGGTCATCATGGAGGAATTTAAGAATCCATGTTATGACACTGGCTGTGGTGTCCTGTGCAGCAAAAAGTACTCCAATGATGTTATCAGCAATATGATCTTCAGTCAAGTTTGCCCCTTTTCATCCTTAGAGTTCAACAGATGTCCCAAAAGATCCTTCTCCACCAACCTTTTTCCTTCCTCTCACGAATTATTTCTCCCAGAATTCGATTCAACCTTTCCCTAGCCTTTTCAATGAGGGGGAAAAACAATTTAGAATTGCCTCTTGAAAGATCATATACACATCTCTCTATGGTAAGGAACTCTTACCTGGAGTGCTTTATGATATGCACTCCCTGGAATTCTTGTAGGAAAAGAGTTGTAGCCTTTATCCATTATCCTGTAGTTCTCCTCTAACTTCTCTTTGTAGCCTCCATCTACATGACCGAAAATCGAAAGAATGCCGACATTGAAAGCAAACT